AAGAGCAGTGTGAAATGCAGCTAGAGGCAGGTTTGGGTGAGATTGTGATGGATCTTGTTTCTGTGTTAAGAAGTTTGGTCCAGAGGGCATATTTTTGCTTCACAAAGACGACTTCTGGATGTTCTTTCTGTTATTTCTTTGGATACCCCTCTATGTTGAGTCAATCTCACTTCTTAAGTCCAATTAGGCCATTCGTGTTTCTTCCCATGTAAGTTAAACTGATACTGATAGATATTAATTTGTCAGGGCTGGTGTTAGCCTTATGTGTTCCACAGCCCTAGAGACTTGTTCTAATGGTATTTTAGGAGTGAAGATATATTGAGGTTCAACACCTAATATTTTCTGGGAACAAGGATGTTTCAAAAAACTAATTGGAGAATTTTTATGTCATTTCAACTAAAAAAAAGTGTTTAAGTGCTTTTTCTTTCTCCCCACTATTGTGTCACCTTCCAGCAGATCACAAAAAATATTTAGACATTTACTTAGCTTTTTATTTAATGGTGATCATGAAATGCCTTTGACTTATGAAAATAACATAGAACAAATATAATACAAAGTCCCTGTCCTCAGGGATTCCATTTTCTGAATAGAATTGGAGTGTGACTCAGCATCCTTTCTTATGTGTCAGGGCAGGGGTGTCATTTCTTGTTCTATTTCCGTCAAGCAAGTCACATTTTCCATTCTTCAGAAAAGTGGGTTTTCTGTGGGACTTGATTATGAGGGGCAATGACTTGGTAGAATTTGGGAGGATAGGCAGACTCAATAGGACCAAAGACAGTGGAGATAAAGTCTCTTCCCACCAGCTATGTGCACAGCACTGTGGCTTCCAGTAGTTAGTGTACTTGGTAGAGTGACAATGAGTGTATGTAGACATCACAAATTATTATAGAGTGGGTAGAATTTGTAACTGGAACCAGAGTAAAGAGAAGGGGATGCTCTGTCTGTCTGAGAGACAGTCTGCCTTGAACAAGGGTTTGAAGGGGAGTAACAGATGAGATTGAGTCAGCTGGGTAAGACTTTACATCAAGGTTTGAGTTGAACTTTTTAGCCTGTATGACACTGACTTTTAAAAAATCATTAAGATTGCCTGGGTGCTTCTTTAAAATACAGGCCCGGAGGCCCTATCCCAGACCTACTGAATCAGAATCCTCAGGGATGGCACCCAACAACCAGTATTTCTCAGGAGGTCCCCAGGGGATTCCCTCACTCTTGTACAGTGGGGACCAGTGATGTAGACAGTATGCGATCCAGAGATCATGACAACATGTGTTGAGCATTTCCTTCCCATGTCCTGCGTGGGTCAGGGTTCAGGAACTGGAAGCAGAGCCGCACACAAATCAATATGAAAAGACAAGAGATCATTTGGAAATAGTGGGGGACCAGGTGAGCAAGTCCAACTCAAGGGGAAGGACTTCCTCCCGTGCTCAGGCCTCACCAAGTTTTTATTGATTCTGGGATGCGCCCAGGATTTACATAATAAGAAATGGGGGAGTAGTTTCAGCTATCACTGTCTGGACAAACAGAGGTGGCGCCTAGTTCCGACCTCTGCTAGGGCTTCAAAGGCACCCAGCCTTCGGGGGGCGGGGGGGTGGTTCTCTGTCTATGTTTATCAGATAGTGAAGGCAATAAACAGTTTCCCACAAACATGATAGTGCCTGTGCTTTTTCTTCTACAGAGGAAGAGAGTGAGTAAGAAAGCACATCCAGAAGATTGCTGCTATGACCCCTTTTTACCCAAAGTATGGTCCTTGAGTCAGCAGCTTGGGCATCACCTGAGAGCTTGTTAGAAATACAGAACCTCAGACCCCACCCTACACCTCCTAAATCATAATCTGCATTTTAACAATTGATAGTGCCTGTGCTTTTTCTTCTACAGAGGAAGAGAGTGAGTAAGAAAGCACATCCAGAAGATTGCTGCTATGACCCCTTTTTACCCAAAGTATGGTCCTTGAGTCAGCAGCTTGGGCATCACCTGAGAGCTTGTTAGAAATACAGAACCTCAGACCCCACCCTACACCTCCTAAATCATAATCTGCATTTTAACAATATCCCCAGGAATTTACATGCACATTAAAGTTTGAGAAGTGCTGGTATACACATTAGGGAGATCTGGCAGAAAAGGTTAAGAAACCAGGGCAGGAACTGGGAACAGATAAGAGATTGGAATCTCAAGTTCAGAATGGAACCAGCAACTGGACCAACATGAAACGGAATGAAGAGCCACTTGGGGTTTTTTGATATCCCTGATAATGGCTGGGAATTGTCCCAGACAGCGTGGCATGTAAGCTGTTTTTGCCATAATACCGGTGCAAGAATCCCATTACAAGTGTGGGGAATATAAGCAATGGAGAAACCCAAGATGGTGAATTCTTTTTTTAGGCTCATGACGCACAGAATCAAGAGCAAGGGCAAGAGGCAAGCCACTCTGGAGGCAAATGACGAATCTGGTGTTAGGCATACTGAGTTCACTAAATGAACAAGGCAAAGAAGTCAAT